AATTTTAATTCAAATTTCGTTCAATTTCGTATCAATACTATCCTTAAAATTCGTAATTTTGATTGGGTGGGAGGATCTCAGAAGTGATCTGCAATTTGTGTAACGATGATGGTCGCTCCTGTTGGTGGACCTTGACAAGGGGATACCTTGTGGATACCGGGTTCCATTGAGGTATCTCTGGGCACAACTAGCAGATCTCCTGAGAAACTATTAGCATCACAACCGTGGAGGAACCTGTTTAGGGTACAATCTTGTGAAGCCTAATGGTGGAAATGTGAAACCTGGTGATGGAATCGTGAAACTTGGTGGTGAACCTGGCCGAAATTCAACGATTGATTTATTTATAATGGTAAGAATTGGATTATCATTTTTATTTTTTTTGTTTAAAATCATATTTGTGATATATTTTTAATTATTATTATATATATATATTTGTTACAGATCGGACGTAACAATTAATTGGCTGGTTACGACGGTTATGCGTGGGTTAGGGGCGCATAATATTATTATTATTTTTTTTTTGTTGGATTTTGAAAACCATTAGGTGAATCTTGAAAGCCGTTAGATGAATTTTAGAACTATCGAGTTCAGATGAGACCATCCCAAATTAGGAAATCATTCCGATATGGTTACGCAGGTGTCAAAGAAATTATTTATACGTTTTACAATACTTTTTTAGGGGCTTCAGGCAATTTATCTCTTCCATGAAACATAGGTAAGTTTACTACGTAAACAAACTTGAAGTTAGTGATAATACCCGGGTTGAATATCACCCGAGTTATCTGCAGATAATCGGATATCCGGGTTGTAAACTCAGCTACCCGGTAGACATACCCAAATAATCTTCAGGTAACAAAAGTTTGAATATTTATATAGATTATCCAAGCTAACTAAATATAAATAAACTAATAATAAACTTAATACTTCAATATATATACTGTACAAAAAGTTATTTTTAAAATATTATATTTTCGTTGAAAGCTATGTGTAGAATTTTAGGCCTAAAAAGGTTTATACTAAATTAAGCGGTCAACCAAAATAAAGTAATGCTTCGATAAAGACAATAAGGCATTATAAACTATGTTGAGTTTAAACCTATCAGTAATTTACCAAGTACAAGAGTAATTTGCAGCTGTAATAGATATGCACTAATCTGTTATCCAGTTTAAATTCTGAAATTAGTGTGTTTTACGTAGTGAATAGACTTACAAAACCTGCATTTCTTTCCAAAATAGTACAAAATTTTTAATTTATCAAAATCGGAATACTAATAGAATGATTTATCTTTATGTCTGAGGTTATTATCAATATGAAGCTAGAAACGACAGCCCTAGATAGACTCGGGTTTACATATTTATTATAGACCTAATTGTAACTTTAAAAATGTAAATCTTATAGTTGTTGATCAAAAAATCAAAAACGATCTACATTAGAGCAGTGCGACTGATAATGTTCAAAAAAAATTATTTGTACATGGTATTCATGCTAAATTTGTAAATCTTTAGGTCTAATGCGAGATGATCATATAGAACTCATTGTTGTTGATCAAATAATCAAAAACGAATTAATTTTATTATTGATTTGTTAGACCGGTGTTAGAGCGGTATGACTGATAATGTTCAAAAAAAAAATATATCTATTGATGGCCTATACAATTTTTACGTAAACACGACTACACCAAAATTACGTCAACAGATTTTAATGTAAACATTGTGATTTTAGTGTTAATGATTTGAAAATTTTGGTTAACAATATGAAAGCGTTATTTAGCTGTGTTAATAATATTGAGACGGATAGTGCTGAAATTTGTAGATTCAACAAGTCAGGTTTCGACTCGAGTAATTTTTGTAGGTCTTTATATTTTGATTAAATA